ACACGTAATAAAGAACAACAGCACTTTTAATGTAAAAAATTACTTTAAATTGCTCTTGAAAACCGAATGTGAACCAGAGATGAAAGTTAATTTTTGTCAATTATTAGAGTTTAAACGGTACAGTCAGTTACGTAATGTTTGATGTAAGTTGCGTGTGCTACAAAATACCAATTTCGATTGGTTTTCATCAAAAATATAGCCATAGTATCTAACATTCCGTAATTAATTTCATTTAACGAAAGAATATTCGCAGGCAACTGCTAATGAAAGAATTAATCGCAAGAATTTCAACAAAGACAGACTCGGGTTTTTTTCCTTTGTCAACAAGTAAATCATTTTTTCATTTCTTGTTTCAAGACAGAACATATCATTTTCAGTTTGTAATTAGTGATTTGGGGAAACATAAGGTTGAATCTTCAGTTGATTGGGGGTGGGGTTGGGATTAGGTAATTACATGTATCTACATGGTATTATATCAAACTTTCGATAACTAAACAGTTGTATCCCATTAACATGTTTTGCAAAGACACATATTTAGAGGGTCTGTATTCGAAAAGAAAGAGCTTCAAGTCATGTATCATGTTGTAAATTTTTAATTTATTAGATGGAGGTAAATGCAGTCATGTTGTAAATGTTGCATTTACTCCATCTAGTAAATTCGAAATTTACAACATGATACAAAGCTAGACGGTAGGCTAAGGTTAAATCCCAGCATACCCTAATTATAGGGGATATTATCATTGCGAGAACTAATGTTGGCAAAATATTAGCAAGTTAAAAAATACTGCTTATACTTGAACAACTTTCCTAACAATATATTGAAGTACATTACCAGGCATTTATGCAAGATTTTAGAGATTGTATTTCCTATATCATCCCATTGAAAAATTACTTGAATTGTTTATATAACATTTTTTGTATATATCTTCCATAAGACATTTTGAAAGCAATTTAGAAATCATAAGATTAATAAAAGATTATTGATGTATTACGAGGAGATACAAAAACATATTCGAGGAACGTATCGCTAGACCTTAATATAACGTCAAAGAATCAAAGCTTCAATTTTCTATACAGCTATGCTGAAGAAAGCAAAACAATAAAATTATAGTAAAACCATGCCAAAATTCATGTATCCCATTTTTCTTATAATTTGCAGAGTAATGTACCAAAGGCCCTTTATCAATATTTTTAAAAAAGGAAAGGAAAAGAAAAGCGGGTAAAATGGGCTCAACAAACAGTTGCATACTCAACTCCTACGTGGACCATTATGAACAAGAAGGCGAGGCTAACGTCCGTTATTTCCGCTACAACTGCGGTAGATGATAGTTACATGGTAATTCAAAGGCAGACTGTTTGAAATGTTTTATTTCTTCTTCCATGACTAAAATCTATTAACTACTCGAGGTATCAGTTTTTATTGGGAACGTGAGTGGTTGTGTTATTTAAAAGCAATTATTGAGGTTTGTGAAGGTTGACCTAGATAAATGCCTTTCTATATTACTTCATCTATAAACTGATTCTGTACTTTTCTTGGACATGGACATAGAAGGAATAATAAACATGTAAGGAGGAAAAAGTGAATATATGATAGGAAATCGACAACCTACAACAATACCACCGTGCCCTCATTACAATGTTACGAAGGCGAAAAAAACTGTCATAAGCAATTCAGTGTTATTTACGATACCATGATAATAGTTCTCTCTCTCGCATTTAGTGTTAAAAATCAATAAAAATTAATAGAAATGATACTTAAACTCGGCGCTTTTGCGAGCTATTTGGCGAGGGAAAATAGAGTTCGAGTGTCCTTTTCATACCGAATCGCAAACAAAAACGAAACGAAAATCGTTTTATTCCGAACCCGAACAATATATTTAAGAGCTGAAATTAGGTTCTATGACCTTGAGGATGTTCTTCCAGTTTAGAGTCAATGCTCTAGATAACCCTGTTATATAAATCACAAAATTCCAGGGTATGAAATAAAAAAACCCCAATACGTAGAGAAGATATAGAAAATGTCCGAAGTACAAGCTTACATATTCTCGTAAAATTCTGTAATTTGAGTGTTCACTAACATGAAAATGGCTAAGGGTTGCTAATATCTTTTGTACAATAGTCACAACTGGGAAAAAAGGGTTACCATTAACTATTCGCGTTGGTGCATTCGATCAAACAAGTAAAGGAACTTATGGTTAATGACCGAAAGAGGAGTTTTATTTTTTGTTTTAAAATTACTTTTTAATTAATTTATAATACATGTCTCGAATTATCAATTTATAATACATGCCTCCAAAATATATTTCCATCACTTTTTTGTATTTGCAAATGTGTGATTATAATTGGATTTTAAATGAAAATGGTATACGTATGTTCAGTAAATACGTATGGATAGTAAGGTTACTGTAAAATGCTTATTTATGCAAAAAAGGGAAGTCTAAACTGAATAATTTTGAATACTATGAATATAATGCAAAGACTTGCAGGGTCACTGTACTCTTCATTTATATAACTGTTTACTTTAAGAAAACGAAAGACGAAAATGATTAAATTATTGTCCATGCAATTGTTTATCTAAACAATGATCATAGATGAATTCTGTAATGTAAAAAGAATAAAGCCCTAATATTGGCGACTTTTCAGTCAAAGAATAATGTTTTATATGATTACCTCTATATATTTTTGACCTGTCGTATTTTTTTTTATCTCTGAAAAAATCACAGTCTTCATTGTCCCATTGATGTATATATTTTAAATATCAATACATATATAACTTAATAAAACATAATATACTGAAATATTTCGGGTTGTAAAGATCCCTTTCATCACACAAGTAACGAACAATATATACTACATCTTATCGCAAATAATTACTGCTCCCCTCATTATAAGACCCTACATCACATTTTGTGTATCCCTAACGAACTGCAGATTCTGAACAATTTTCAAGGTAAACTCCTCGACGCAAACCATATGTTTCAGATTATATAAATAGACACGACATTCAATTATCCTAAGCGTTAATGAACACAGATGCAGTCTCCGATGCAAGACCGGGATCGAAAGGTCAGAATCGGCTCTAAAAATACCAATATATTTATGAATAATAAATTACAGCATTGCCTGATTAAAAGTGTCTATTGATACTCGTATCATTAATAAATCAATGACTACTCAATACATTGTGACCATGTTATCTATTTTTTAATTGATTGTGAAATTGTCATGAGCGTATCTTTTTCTATGAAGAATACTTGCTGAAAATATATACAGGCATTGCTTACTAGTGAGGTGTAATTGGAAGGGGAGTCTTATGCGCTTTTATAAAAATAAGACGATGATAAAAACTAAAAAGCATAAAACTGATTAGTAAAGAAATTGAACTTCAAAATATTATTTTAAATTTACTCTTCTTTATAAACCTGTTTAAAGAGTACACTTCCTTACAATAAACCAAAAGACTTGATTACTGTATTTAAATCCAAGAAATATTCCACCATTATATATAGCATTGTATACAGAACCATGTCTGTTTTCCAGACTCAATTTTTATATAAAAAAAATATGACAGAGATGTATAGGGTTATCTTGTAGATCACCATCATTGTATTTAAGATGGAGAAAATATAGTTATTTGCCTGCTGCTTCTGCCGACATAATACGACGTGTCGAGGTTGTAGGTCTTTTTATTTGTTTTTGCTGAGAATTACTTATCCAATATCGGCAAAATTAATAATGTATATTCTGATGCCACAATCATTGTTTGTTTTTCTCTGAAACACTGAACACCGGCCATTGAAGAACAATATCAGACGACGCCAAAGTCGAATGCTAATCGTTAAACAGGCCGCCTTTATATTCACTTTCTTACCAGCGTGTTCGAGTTTAAGAGAATCTTGAAAATGAATCGAACTGCTTCTACACCAAGTGCCTCAGATTTAATCTTTTTTTCTTTTTGTGCTTTGGTAATCTCGCAAGAATATTGGGGGTGTGTCTTTACGACTGATAATAGTTAATTAAAAACCATCATCGAATGTTCCCTCTGAAGTAAGCACGAAAATGAAATAAAAAGTTCTTTTTATATAATTGTTATGTAAAAATTGACTTATTTATTTCACCTCCATAGGTTATGTAAAAAAAAAAATTAATCACTTGCGTGTGGTTTACCTCGTAAACTTCTTTTTAAGAATTCTCGTCTTCTGCAAGACACATGACAAAAATAGTCTCTTTGCGGAAATCAATTTTGAACGAGTTTCTGAGCTGATAATTAGAATGAATAATTCTTTACGGATTAGAATGAATTAGCTTGTAGATATAGCTGATACATGAAGTGAGTTATAATGTTATACCCGCTTAATTTTCTCATTTAAAAAGGCATATAGGAATAAATTTATTCGACCCAATGTACAGACAGTTAATTAGCCTGGTTCTCTTCAAATGCTGACGACAAAATGCAAAATGCCCAAAATCGGAAAGACTGCTCTGAATATGATAAGAATATTATAGATCTCCGGGGGATCAGATGTTTTAAGTCTCCGGCGCTTGTCAATTCGATACTAAAAGCTTTTAGCTCTTTGCCTGAGCGAAGTGAAGGGCTGCCTCGACCGAAGACAAGACGCAGTATTCCGTTTGACTGGTCCTACTCACCTGTCGCATGTCACGAACTGGGATACAAAATTAAACAGGTATCTCTCTTATTGTAATCAATATAAGAAAAACGGCCTGCTCCAGACCGATTGTTTTGTCAATACATTGCAGGAATGCATAAAAAACACCCTGTCTCACCTAGTCAGGTAACTAAAGTAATTGACATAATTACAGCGTGTAATAGTAGGGGGTAGTGATTCCAATCATCGCCATCTGATGGACATAAATACGACATCGGCTTATATATCTTGTTTATACTGCTTACAGCGTACAGAATTCACGTGTAGAACAATAGCAGATAGTCATGCAATGTGGGTAATTGTGCCAAAACATATTGTTTATGCTGTACTTACCCTAGGGTTGTCATGGTTACGATGGTATACCAGAATGCCTCGGGAATACTTATGAATTTTGTGTCCTCCACATTTCTTTCGGCGTAAAACATCACTGTAGCAAAAATGATTATAGCCATGGTCAGTGAAAATAGAAGAAAGCCCAACTCACTTGCACAACTCTTAAGTGTATATCCTAGAATTCGTAAACCTTGTGAGTGGCGGGAAAATTTGAAGATCCTAAAAACACGAAATACTCGAAGCGTGACGAAAGCGCCACTGACGTCATCATTCTCAGTCATGACGAGTCCTATGTAATACGGAAGAATAGCCACAACATCAATGACGCTCATGACACTACGCATGAATTTACACCTGTCGGGTGCTGCATAAAGGCGAAGTAAATATTCGGCTGTAAAGATCATCACACAAGCTGTATCTAAACAGAAGAATGCTAATTCATATCGTTCCCCACACGCGGGGTTTTCGTGGGTACCCGGAATTAACCCACAGGGTATAGTTTCTGTAACGTTAGCCAACACAGATACGGCTATAAAGAAGCCCGTTACATAGTAAAAGACCAGGGCAGCGGTCCCAATGTGGGGATTTTCGAACCATCTCCACATTCGCTCCCTGAGATTAGCCACGGGTTCTAGGTGGCCATTTTCAGAGTTCTTGTCGTCAATTAGTCGTTCCTGATTTTCTCGTTTTCGGTCGCGATAATCTTCGTAACAACAGTCCCCAATGAGATCGGGAAGAATCCCAAAAAATGAAAGTTCCTCGTCATAAGCCGCAAGACATTCGTGTTTAGGGTAATGTAATTTTCCAGTTCGGTAGTAGTTCAGTATATGTCTGAAAAGTTCAGGGTCTCTGTCAAAGAAATAATCTTTACATTCTTCGTCGTAAAAGAAATCTTTTTCGTTAGAACCTAGAAGAGTATCAGGGAATTTTTCTAGTGTCGTCCGCCATACTTCAAAAACCCTCCCACTAACATTGATTGTGATTTTCTCATCCCCTCGCCTGTCTTCCTGTCGGACCATGGGAGGAGGGAGGGGATTTGAGGCGACGGGCACCCACCCAATCGCTGAGGCCCGGGCAAAAGGTAACCATGCTGCAACCGACGCCATTACGTTCCCCTTACTCGGTGAAAGAGACTCAAAATTTGGAAAGAAAACAATTTTGGATATTTAATTTGTTATAGTACAAGAGGTCATCCAGATAATGACCCTATCCAAAATAAACACCAAACATGACCACCTTACCATCTTACGCCCCGCCAACGTTTACGCACTGATCCATGTCAATTGCCGATTAAATCTTCCATTCAACCCGCACAAGTTTTACATATCACGTTCGTAGTATCCATATCACGTAGAATTACATGTAAAAATCCCTTCGTCTTAATTTGGCCTCCCAAAATGATCGAGGATTTAAACTTTATTCCGTGCTGAGAAGACGAGGAGGAGAATTCGCCTCCATCGCTGCGTGCCTTCGTTCTGCATACAATAGAAAATTCTGTTTTGTAGTTTCTGCCTCTCGTTACAACATACGGAACAACGCTGTGCTGTACAGACAGGCGATCGATATATCGCTCGTATACAATCAGGCGGGGTAGACACAATTAGTTCATCTTCAGGGAAGGGGAGTTAACTCACCTACCAACGTTTAGGAAGCCCCCCTTTCATGTTAAACCGAAGCACGTTTGGTTTGACATGTTTGATACTGCACCGGGTACAAAACTCAAGTGAAGGAGAGAGAGTGGTATTTTTAGACGCGTTTTCTATAATGCTTCGCTCAGTGCTTATGTACACGGTGGTGATATAGACCATTGATTTTTTCCACTATTATTTATTATTCGCTTGCTACGGAACATTTCGCTTCCCAATCAATATTTCAAAAAATGCACAAAACTGTATATAAGAATTCACCGGACAGACCATTGAAGCTGAAAAATATTGCCGTGAATACGGTCCCAGCGGGACATAATCTTCTACTGTGATTAAATATTAAGGAGATACATCAAATATTATACAGAAGCGTAAGTTCACCAACTATTTATCGAGGAAGCACAGATTCATATATATATACATCCCAGACCGATGATCTTAGTCAGCTGCAAGATTCGCACATTTTTAAATTGAATAGACGAAAATATTCAATAAAGCAAATTGTTTTCCGTACTTATTGATTTTGCTTCGTGTTGATTTCCCTTCGAACATTCGCTGGATCTATATTTCATAATAAAAGTATATAGTTCTCGGTAATGCAGCTACATGTTACTTTGAGACAGGAAGTACCATCTGCCCAAGGGGTGTACAAAATAGAAAATCGATACCGCAACAATTACTGGGTGATATCCGGAGAAACTCAAAGTCGTCCATATGTAGGTTTATATCTTTAATTGTTTCTACGCTGTACAACATTTGAATAGAATCTTAATCAATTTCGAGACCACCTGTCGAAATATCGATTTTCTATACATAAGTATCAATTTTGAGTTTCTAAGAAAATTCAATACTCTAGCACTGAAATTAAAGAGCAACATGAGAGTCAATATTTTTTGAATAAGGATTGGATTTAAGCAAATTAAAATCAATGCTGTCGATGACCAATTTTATATATGTATAACTGGTGAAGTTGTAAATATCGAGAAATCAACATAATTAACTTTCAGAGTTATCAAGAGAAAACTTTGAAATGTAAATAATATACATGTACGACTCGTGATCACGACACATCCCAAAGACATGATTCTCTAATCATTACAAAGTTGCGTCCTTCTCTTCCGTTGATCAAATTGTCTTCCTAAAAAAAGAACTGTAAATTATTTGTAATTGTTGGTGTAATAATTGACCATGTCTTTTGTGTTTGTTTGATACATAAATTAAGTACCAAAAAAAATCGTTTTCGTTGGGCTCGATGTTTATGTACATGCATTATAAACGAAAGAAAGCATCGGTGGGGTAAACAGGTCTCAATAAAATCAACAAACTTTTCATATATACCGCTTTTTCCGAGTACCCTGGTACTCGATCGGAAAATCGTCCGAGTAACCGATTATCAAATATTGACCGATTTGACATCCCTAATATATATATATATATATATATATATATATATATATATATATATATATATATATATATATATATATATATATATATATATATATATATATATATATATATATAACAGAAAAGCAATCTATGGTATGTCTTTTAAGTAAACTCACTCGCACAGTCAGTTAAACATGCTTAAACATCAAGAGCGTGTCAGCCATATGAATTATTTACAGTTGGCGTTCACTTTTTAAAATCCCACTGGAACCTTAAACAGGCTTTTGAATATATTCGATGGCGGGGGTGCCGATAAATGCTTTTAGTTGTATGTACTCATCGTCTCGCAGGGGAGACAATTATGTATAATCCTGCATGTACAATGAACACGAACACAGGCAAATCTAGAATAATTGATCAGCTGCAACCTAAAAACCTAGTGAATAAATTGAAGAAGTTTGAAATACTGCATACATTTTGGGGATATCAGTTTGAAATATACAGTAAATAGTTATTTAGTTTCAATTTAAACCATAAAATAGACTTTTGAAGCTGAAGATAACAACGTTATCAAGATAATTTTTCTAAGAGATTATTTGAATGTATATGCTTTTATGCACGCTTTTCGGTTTATGTAGTTAGTAATTGCTCATTATATCGAAATATTTTTTATGTATGAAGTATAAACTCTGAATTATTATAAGAAAAATGATGTTCTGTGAATAACTAAAAGTGCATACATGTACACAATTTTCAAGAAATGCAAGTACGTATGTATATAAATTATATACCGGTACATGAATATATACAGAAAATATGAGATTAGTTTATTAAAAATCAAAGATTATAATAATTAAAATAATAAATTTTAAATTCAACTTCAATACAATAATTAAGATTAGATCATTTTTGTTCATTTGACTGTTAGCTTTGCTTCATTATTTTACATTTATTAACTAGATTCGAAGGCTACATGCGATTTGTAAGACCCGAAAACCTATTGTTTGCCTAAGGCCGATAGGCAACAGTTAAGTTCAAGGGTTCTACATAACGCACTAGCCCGAGAACCCATGCCAGCAACTAAATGCTTTGTTTTACCTTTAAATAAAAAAAAAATCTGTCACATATTTAATTTGCACTTCCTTCCATATTTGCAATGCAGATGACGAACTTTTGATGTAAATTTTATTTACCCGCACTGCGGATTTAAGTCGTTCAATTCCTTAGCTGCATGCCGAACACCAACGAATTGGATTTTCCAAAATAAGCTGAAGATTAACGAAGTGTGAGTTAAAGTCATATCGGTTTTATATCTCAACGACCGGCCCGTCTTCGTATTTTTTAACACCTCAGTAAAAACTTGGGAAACGCTATAGGATTATATTTTTTTAAGAATACAATTATACATCAGAAAGAATTTTTAAAGGTTTAACAGAAAGTAATAATATTTCTCTAAATATTACATTGAAGGTGAAACACATAAAATATGGAAGGAATGATGTCTCAATTTTTTTTTCATATATGTTTGATGTCGCAATGATCACTTCATTTCCCAGTTTTAGTGATCTTTGCATGGGTGCATTGTTTTAGCCTAATCCCCGGGAATTTCATTAAAAATTAAACAAGAGATTGGATTCAATAAACAAAAAGAATAAGAAATAGTAATTTTTTTCCTACAGCTACTAGTAAAACATAGCATTCTTTGTTACATGTATGTGTGACTGGACTGGATCATACAATTCTTAAAAAGCATCTACATTTATCTCGCTTCAGAGAAATTTGCTGCATATTGATTGGCTAATAAAAACAGATCACGTGACGGTATGAAAGTATCCGAGCGGGGATGTTTTAAACAGTGGGCGCGGGATTCTGTTCTACGTGAATCTGTTCGTTGAAATTTATTGTTCGTATCTTTAACTGTGATAATGTTATACTGAGAATATATGATGTTCAATAAAACATATATTTTGAATTATATTTAAAACTGAACTCTAAACAAATCTTGTAAAGGTCTTCAGCGGGATAAATTCGTTACACAGTTTGGGACCTAATACACGGAGTCATTGGAGGGTGAGAAATGGAAATCCGTATAACTATAATAGGGACTCGGCTTTACCTCGCCCAAGAAGAATTTCCATTTCACACCCAGATGACTCCGTAATTAAGTCCCAAACTAACCGTGTCACTATAGTATACCCTCTTTTCAGAGAGCACAGATTTGTCTGCAACTTTGACCTACAATGATAGAAAGTTCAAACTGAACAAAGGAGTGATTTATTAGAAGATTTTCTACTTTAGTCGATGAAATAAACGCGTGAAATATGCAGGTGATAAGGTACCTAATATGTAATTTACATTTATAAAGTTGCTGTTTAGAAATATCCCGAAACCCTTTTTTAAAAGTGTTTTCTTCCTCTGTTGTAGGGAGTGATTTTATAAAGTAATCGATCTTATTATTTTAAGAATTGCCATTATAGATGAATCATATGTTATAATTCACAACATGGGTTGCATTTCTAACAATTATATTTAATTGCAAAAGAAATGATACTGTTCGGAATATAGGATATATACAAGTCTTGTTCATTAGGTATTTTAATTGGCTTGGGCTAAACATATCAAATATAATATCGTCCGTGCTGTTGGTCATATAAATAAACTTACTGACTGAAAACTAACATTCAGTAATTTGTTTTGGGCTTATACTCACGTTTTATTTCAGAAGAAGTCAAACATCAGGTCCAATTGAAAAATACATTTCTACTGATTTCTTTAATTAGAATAAGACAAGAAAAATTACATATCTGTCATAAAAATTTTTCATACATATAGTAACAGGGAATGCATTTTGACATATTTATTATGCATGCAAAAGTTGAAATGGATCGATCTCAATAATTGACCATCTATTTAAATCGATCAAAACCGAAGCCAGGTATTGATTAGAGCATACTAAGTTATCTCGCACGCTATCCAATTAGGTTTGTATTTTCTAGATGTACAGTATTTATCGACATCAATAATTCAAGATTTCGATCTTGTTTAATTGAATTTCGAAGCACTACTCCAAATTAAAAAAAAAATCCTCTTCTTATTTTGCAAACAAGTGATTTGAAACCAAAGTCAAGCTTAGGTTTTACAAACTGGGAAAGAATTGAAATAAACTATCAGTGTCAAATCACTGTATGGGAATATTCAAATTCGAATAAATATCTATTTAAATGATGCATTTTAGAATTTAATATAATACATGTAATTTTATCTTCAATCAACTTAAAGATGATGCATGGCAAACAAACTTAGATGAATTTACTTTAAAAAAATCAATAACTGCATAATCCAAACAATATATATATTTATAGAAGATTATATGAATTATATATTCATAAGATTAAATTTTATTCGTTTCTGAGAATGAAAAAGCACTCTTGACGCCACGTTGCGCTACTTTCCTATATTGAGGTGAAAGATTTATTGACAAAGTGTCATATTGAAACACTGTTGTATCGTTCATTTTATCTTTCAACCGAGAAAATGTACTTATTATTTTATTTTAAGCAACTGCGAGAAATGATGGATTAAAGATGAACAAGAGAAAAGAAAACAAACTGCCAAAATGAGGTATATTCGACGACATATGGTATTTGACAAAAAAATGTACGAATGAG